GAGAGAAACCTCCCATCACGTCTACCTCTCTCGCTGTAATCCAGCTTTTCTATCACCCACTTAAAGTGACGATTAGCAGCAGTGGCGACAGGTGTCGCTTTGTAAAACCCAGAAAAGCTGTACCGTTGTAGTGCAGTTCTTGTAGCAGTCGGCCTACGGCCTCACATAAGGGGTCCACCCATTGGTCCACGAGCGCTGATAGTGGCATTGACCTTGACGCTTAAACGCTTTCTCCAGTCGGCGAAGGTTAGAACAGGGCGATACCCTCGATAAACCTCGATAGTCTTCGAAATCTATGAATGTGATTAAGGCAGCTTAATGCCTTGCGAATGCCAGTTTCAGGTAGGGTTTCATGTGTCCTTGAAGTGCGAATAATCTTTGTGAAGGGAAAAATCCTCCCTAACGCCCTTCTTGTGGAGGAAAATTTGGTAGGTTTTCTATTGGTAGGTGACTCTTTCCTTTGAAGATAAGACGTTAGGTGCACCGCAGGTTCTCTTATGGGCAATGTCCGTTTATAAGAAGTTGACCATAACGTGTGCGTTCTTAGAGCTATCGTTGCCTTCGCCTGAATTGCACCTACTCCGGGAGATAGATTCTTGGTGGTAACAACAGTGGGAATAACGGAGTTTGACAAGGTTTCAATGAGCAATAGAGTTTAGCAGGAACCTCTACGTAATCGGCCTTTCGTAACAAAGAATACAAGCCCCGTCTACAACTTAATGTTGTTAGCGGAATAATCAGCCAAGAGTGTCCTAGTGGTAATTCTTTAAACTTCTTAAGCAGTTCTTTGCGGCTTTGAAAATGCGTTCCAATTTCGTTGTTTGGAGCATTAAGGTCCTTCCACCAGGAGTTCTCACTGAGAAACAGGTCGTATTCATTGGGTGCTCCTCGATGGGCCAGTCGCAAGTGGTCAGGAGCTCCTCCAATCTGAAGCCGTCATATGCGACTTCTCTCCTTCCTGTAAGACTGTGGCAGACTCTTGGTCTAAATCGCACGTTTGCTCAAAAAAGAGTGATCAGAACCACTGCAGAAGGACGGTATCGCTGAGACCTCCAGTAAGCACCACCTTTGGTTGGTAAGAATGTGGTCGATGCCCGCAATTGTCGTGCTATTGGATTACTCCCATGTCCACCGCCAATTTTCTTTCTCAAAATGGTGTTTCCATAAATCGGCTTCGAGGCGGTAACCATTTTTAATCCGGAATCCTGATCCAAATCTGATTACCTTCTTATCGATGCTTATAGAAAGCACATTTTAGTGTATTATTAGGCTGGTTTTGAAAATAAAAGTCTGTGATGATCCTTTAGTGTAAAATATTGAGTCGAAAGATAGCCAGGAGGGGTGATAGAATTTCATATTAATCGACAAGATGTGCAGCAAATGAGTGTATGAGCAATCCAGAGCAATCCAACTCTTCAAATATTTAGTGATGAAACTTTCTCAGCACCGTGAGCGTGCCGTCAATCAGCCTCATGTGCTTTCTTGAACTTCTCCCCTTACAAAGCGATTGCGTAATAGTTAATGCGTCTGAGTGAAGATAAGAAGGACGTGTAGGTTGGCGTTGGTGAGATTTTCTTGGTGATGTAAGTAGCACAAGACGACTTCCATGACAAGTCGTTTACGTGTCCTTTCGGCTTGAAATTCATGCGTTCTGTGCGATCAAATGCTGGTCTTGATGATATTCGACGCCTGTAATGGATCTTATGTGCAAGATTTTGATTTTTTTGCGTGCTGTACAGACGATGATTTTTCCAACTTAGCAGCCTTGTCGTGGAGATGCACCAGGGCAATCGCTGACCTCTCCGAATCAAAGAAGCTCGAACTCTTATTTAGACGGTGGCACCTGGCAAGGCTTACTACTGAGCATCCGGAAAGCTGAAAATGTCAAATTTCTTCTCAACTTAGGAGTCCTGACTGAAGGAAGAATCTTTGTTGTGCTTCGCAATTCAACACCCATCGGCGTCAGGTCAGGTTAGGTGGTGGATCATCCTGTGTTACGCAATAGAGATGCTGAAACTGTGGCAACGACAAAAGCTTTCCGAATAACCAGTGGAGAGTTGAAACGCCGTAAATTGAACCGATTACATTATTCTATTGGATTTTGCAATTCGGATATAAGCTCAATCTATCGTCTTCCAATGGTACATTTCTTTAGAGTAAAACATCGGTGGGCTTTTCATATAATGAGAAAGGCACACTTCAGATGGACTAAGAAATCTAGAATAGATCCCTTGCACAGCAAAACGTTCTCGAAGGAGGCCATCGACAGGGCGTTTGTGGCATGGATGGAGAAGAGGAGATCTTAACTGTAACAAAGGATCTGAACTTTGGGAAAGTTGCTGTAGCAATTTGTACCAACGTCAATGACGCCAGCGAGCGACAAAAACGTATGAAATTCTGGGCCCTGCGCGCTAAGTAGACAAGTCATCTAAGTATCTAAGTGAGCAAGTTAGTAAGCATTGTAAAGTTTAGATACTCACAGGTTTGTTTACATCAATCTTCATCACCGATAAGTATCCTTTCCGGAATTTTTTGGGCGAAAGTAGATTGCTAAAGAATCTTTACTCTAACAGTAATTGTGAAGAAGTGCGAGGTCGTTGACCAGTCTTGGTCTACGAGGCAAGACTGATAATTTTGCGTCGTATACGCCTCAGCTACCTAAGCTACGTGCACAAAGCTACCGGAACAGAAGCGCTGCTTCTGCGCGCCTATATGAGCGCTTGGACCTACGCAAAGTTATAGGGAAATGGGTGCAATAGATCATCAGAAATGAAAACTCAATGAGAGCAATTGCTTTGATCTTTCTCCAATTTCAAATTCTCGTAAATGCATGCACGAGATCGAAATGAATGGATGATTGCACGAGTATGAGAGGGGAAGATCTTCTAAGTTTCTAACAAGGGAGGCATGCATAGTCAACTAGTGTGTAGGCATCAACATTAGATATTTTTCTTGTAGATTTAAACCTTCAACCAAATCTGGGAAACTAGAGATTATGACCTTATATTTGCTTGGATATTTTGTAGTGAGAACATTACTTTTATGCAATGCTATCTCAACATTTCAAAATAATCTGAATTACAGGGACAGAGTCGAGCCCATTAACTCACCATTTCCTATCAGAAGTGAAAAATTTGCCACAAAGCATTCCAGAACA